TCACAAGAACGTCGAATCTGAATCACTTGAAAAAAACACGGGGGTGCTTAACCTTTTTCCAGGTGTATATATATATATATAAAAAATTTTCATAATTTTATCAGTATACTGAAACATGTATATATCATAATTTTTTATAAATCTGTTAGTATATTGAAACGTATATATATATATCAAAATTTTTATAATTCTGTCAGTATACTGAAACATATTTATATCAAAATTGTTTATAATTGTATCATTATACTGAAACATGTATATATGAAATTTTTTTATATTCTATCAGTATACTGAAACTTATATATCAGAATTGTTTATAATTTTATTAGTATACTGAAACGTATGTATCAAAAAAAGTTTTATAATTTTATCAGGCACTCTTGAGGCACAGAGGTATGTCTACGGACTTACAGCCCTTGAAACCGGGTTTCGATACTTATGGTGGGCAGAGCATATATAGCCCATTGTTTAGCTTTGTGCATAAATTCAAGCAAACACAATTTTATCAGTATACTGACACATGTATATTTCTAAATTTTTCATAATTTTATTATAATACTGAAACATGTATATATCAATATTTTTTATAATTCTATCAGCATACTGAAACATAAATATATATATTTATTTTTGAGGTTTAATATTTTTCTTATGGCTAAATGCTGATAGTATTGTACTAGATATTAATCATTTTTAATTTATGTAGAATAGAAAAAAAAAATTGATGAGGGTATTTGAGCTGATAACAAAAGTCATTGGCAGTAAAATGTTTGCACAAAGTTTTCACTCAGTACACTTAATTTTTAGTAGCCATAACTTAGCAAAATTTCTTTTTATGTGAGTTTTAGCAACCAAAACTTGAGGAGACATCATTATGCATGATTTAATGAATGCTTAGCATCAGATCAGCTTGTCAAGATGAAGTAAGAATTTTTCGTTTACCATGACATCAAATGCATTAATTCCTTAGAATGATAGGACACAAGTTAAAGATTTTGAAAATATAGGCTCCAAGTTAAAGATGTAAAACCTTTTCCCAAGATGATACCTCATCTTCTTACACAGAATATATCTATATATATAGATAGGCTATAGGCTATATCTATTGTGCTTCTGCTTATGAGACTTGCATGTCACTTGCCTTGAGCTAACTCCCACTTAATATTCAGTTGTTTAACCCTTTCTGCAAAGGGTAGGTCATAGTGTACGTGCCAGAACCTTTTAAAGAATTTCATTCAAAAATTAATCAAACTACTTTATTATCAATGTATATGAGTAAACATGGAATCAAAATGTAGTAAGTAAACCTATTTTTAATATTATTTAAGGAAATATTTTTAAAAAAATCCTCAATCTCCCCCTAGTATCAGAATTGTGATATTAACTCTCTTGATCTTCCCTCTTCTTTCATTTATTTACTACCCCTATGGAATTTAACATAAATTACTTATTATAGTACAAATATTACTCAGGCAAAGCATAATTTTTATAGCTTTCAATCTTTTTTTGTTTATGAGCAGAAGCACTTATCACACCCACCTGTCATATCCTCTATCTCACAGGAAGTGCTAATAGTTCTCTGACATTTTATACTATACTATTTATAACCAACAGAAAACCAGAGTTTTAGTCCGTCAAATGATGTATTACATTACATTGTTTTTGTACAGGGTGTTTTCTATTTTGTTATTCAGTTACACATTGACGAGCTTCTGATTTTTTCAAGGCTTTTATTGCATAGTTAAGTTAGAAAGCCAGAAAATGTATTATACTTATAGGACATTGTTTGCTTTCTGTGTGTAATTATTCTGTTCTTAGGTGCATTATTCAATTAAATATAAATT